TTCTTGTAAACAAAAAGATTTAAAAATAAACAAACAAAAAAAACAAAGCCGAGGAAACAATGCGGCCGCTTCAAAGGAGATCTGGTGTGAAGAAAAATACAAGTGGAAAATTGTTAAGGAGGAAAAACAATAGAAGTTGCGTAGGTCTCGAGGAAAATGCGTAACGCCGTGGACTTAAAGCGAAGCTCATTTTAGGGTTAATTTTTGAGAAATAAATTTCTTATTTAACTGAGATTACCAGCTGCATATAAAATAGACTTATTTAAGAAAATAGTGGATATTGTATTTCTAAAAATAAACGACTCGAAACCAAACATAAACAATTACAATTTCAGTTTAAAATCTTGTTTCTTTACAGTTTAGAACAAATGCTATTTTTAAATATCTATTTGAGGAATTATTTCGAAAGCGTTGTATCAACAAAAATTGTCAATTCAATGAAATAGCCCGACTCAGCTTGGATTTTAACAAGAGAGAGAGACCCATCACAATTTTAATTTCACTCTAGTCGCTGTGACAATTAAAATAATGCCGCGACGAAAAAATTCCCAAAACGTAGCGACCAAAAAAAAAGATCAAACGAAAATGAAAAAAATCCCTCTCGCGTTAATAGTTCGCGTATTACTCGTTCTACTATTTTCACAATGCCCAATGAAATAGAACAACAAAGGATTATGGAAAAATTATATGTCGCGTCTATTTTGTTATTCGTTGAAATATTGCTGGATATTTTAAAGGCTCGCTTACATTGGTGATCGCTCAATGTTTTAATAGCATTCCAACTCAGATTAACTATAAATGCACGATACGACAGTTATTGTAGTTATATTCTGTACTTAGTACGTAAATGTAATGTTATCCGGGGTTTAGCAACACATTATACAATATTATCTAGACTGGTTGTCAGACTTTGTAGCTCGAAGCGAGAATCCTTCTTATACAAATATCTAGGCTATACCTAGGAGTGCTAGGCACAAGTTTGAACTTACATGACACCTTTAAACAACGGTTTTGCATTTTCTATCGCGATCTCACTGTAGCATATAATAAAATATTTAATATAATTATAATATAAATATTCTATGTTGTGATGAATTATATCTTTATTATTTCTAGGTCCATTCAATAGAGCAAACATTTCTAAAGGTGTCAAAAACGAATTGTAGCGCCATTAAAATCGGCAAATTGCCCTGTAGGCTTACTGGCGTCAATACGTCACGGAACAACGCGTATTTATGTAGGAAATTACGCGAAAAAACATCCCTTTCTATCGGGCGTTGGTTATTTATCGGGCCTTCGACAATAGCCGGAATTGATATACATTTCATTTGTGTACTTCATGTCTCATGTTCTAACGCTATGCTTTTCCAATAACACCAACCGTGCTACTAGCGCCAGTCAAGAAAAACTGCTTCTATAAAATCGTACTAAATCAATCCTCTTTATTCACTAAGTACAGTAAGAAAGAGATGCCCAATATAGAAGAGTAATGAATGTGGTATAAAACCAATAAAGCGACAAATACTTAACTATTTGTCCACAATTAAAAATGCTAAATGGCTGTAACACACGGGTTGAAGTCAATCGGCTTAACTTTCAATCGAGGTTAAAAACCGCAGATCTGTTAAGCCTATCCGCTCAATTAGTGGTCGAATCATATTATTGTGAAAAATGTACGCAACGAGCAGTATAGTTTATTTTATTAATACTAAAAATAAAATAAAAATCAATGAAATTCACGTAAACTGCGTAATGAATGAAATTTAATTTTTAACAGGGAATAAAGCACGACTTCTAACATTGAGATTTAATCTATTATACATATTTTTAATAACGTCATAAACGTTATGTTTTATACATTTTTTGGATTTTATGGTTATCGATAAGTACTTATGTTATTTATTGAATTTGAAATATAAAAATGTTTGCCTTTAAAAGAATTTTCTTTTCACATCACACTTAAGAGCTGATAAAAGAATAGTGGAAAAGTGCTTCTGAAACTACTAAATATTTCACTCTGTTCTTGAAAATAAATTGGTTCCATAACTCATATAATTCCGTTTTACACTCATCGTATAAGATGCATTACATCATGCATCGCGGAAGTGCAACCCTTAGCCTGCGTTGGTTTTATGAGCTATAAACTCCGTCATGGAAACCACAGTGGCGTGTAGCTCGTACTTTGATAGGGATAATTTGTATTTTCATGTTGATTACGAAGAACTACATACAAATTTACATTAATTTGTCAATTTTGTTAAGAACCTAAAAATACTTTAGTAATTAAAATCTACGTCCGATTTAGTTATGTTAGTAGTATTCGTTCGTTTCTTTTTAATATATTCCAAAAATCATATTTCAGTTATTCCTCTGTAATTTAATATTTCTTCAATCAAAGTATTAACGCATTTCTCTTAAACATGTAAATCTTTAAGTATTCAGACTTTATAGAGATGACTTATCGATCTATCTTATAAATAAGTTAAATGTCTATACTTATTGCAAGAGTGGTTGCTAAGCATTAAGTTGTCAAGTGCCATCGATGGCAAATAGTGTAACAATTTGAGAGTGTTAAGCGTCTTTTGTCGATCATCGCAGGAAATTGAGACGGGGCTTGGCCCGTGGTTAATGGCCCCTGAGGAAGGCTCTATTAGTTTCATACGAGGCTGTGGATTTATGGGGTAATCTTTGAGCGAATTCCTTTGTAGACCCCACCTTACGGATATCGGGGCTTTCGGAAGAAATCGGAATATGTTACCGATAAACAAATGTTTGTCGCTAGTTTTAGACAACAGCTCCATTTCATACAACTAAACGAAATAAATATACATATGTGTTACTGAAAAACAAAAACATGACTTATACCATTATTACATATTCTTTACTGTTTATAATACAAGTACAAGTAGTATTATATAGTTAATTTACATTTTTTCAATAGAAAAGAATATCCTTTGTCGCAATTTAAAAAAGAAAATTTAAATATAGCAATAAATACATGTTCAGATCTTGCTTATTCTAGGTCTACACTAAAATAATTTAGCGATTGCGTCAAAAACATGGCACAAATTATTATTTTAGTGTGTTAAATAACTTAGTTGCTAAAACTTAATAGTAGAACCGAACTGACGACGTCAATAATAATAATAAAAATACCTAAACATTTGAAGGCTTCCTTACTTACACGCTCTAAAATTCTTAAGCCGGAATTTAAAAAAAAGAAGAAGTCCTCTTAAAATTGGTATTAGGGGGCATGTAAGTTGATTTAAGTAACTGGTAAGTAATATTACGTCTGTTGATTGTTTTAGTACTTATATATGTATAACAATTATTACAGCACGACATTTATGTCTTTGTGGGTAACAGTTCGTTTCTGATTTGTACCATATCCTTATAATTATCTAATTAAGTTCTATCTTAGTTTACTAATGTGAAATGTAAACTGTGCTGAGTATCGTTGAAATAGAAGGATATATTTAACCCGACACGGAAATTACATATACATTCCTACTATTATTCGCGTGTTATATTACCATAAGAATTTCCTCTCACTCGTAACATAAGTCCACAACACAATATTGTTATTCAACTTTCACATTATAATGCTCGTAGCGACGCGACGGTAGCAAACAAGGGCCAGTGTAGAAAGAGCCTTTGGAACAAGTATAATCTTATGGTGACAATAAAAACTCACTCTCGGCATTATTTAGTTTATGGAGATAAGAAACGCTTTATAAATCATATTTCCTAAGTGTTATTTTTACTTCTATAATAGTGAAATGTAATTACTGTCAGTTGCATTCTAGGTACAATCGTTTGTTAAAATGTGTATAATAACAAGATATATTAAAACATTTAATTATAAAGTATGAAAATGGCGTAGAATAAGTTAAGTTAAATTGGGATATGGTGCCATGACTTAAAAACTTTTAGAACACGTTCTTTACTGCTTTTAAAAATACTGAATAGTTTTGAGCTTTGAACTTGTTTAGAGCGAGCACATTTTATAATATATAGGCAGAGACGAAATAAGTAACATAGATAATGGCGGTCATACATTAAATTATTTCTCAAAATTAGTAACTGTAATCTACGTTTTGGATTTAAAAAGATTTCAATCTCGATAAGCAAGACTAACTAGAAGTTTTATCACAAATTTCCTTCGAGCTGGTCGAAAGTGGAAACGCTTTACTCAAAGATTCTAAAACGTATGTGAAATGGCGACAATAAAAACGTGCACGAATCCGACTTTACGACTACTACACGACTTCTAAGCTGAATACTTGAAGAAAGCGAATAGAAAATGGACTTGCTGCATGACGCGAAGTATTTCAGTCGTACGTTGTTATTCGGATGTACACAGTACAATTTTAAATGAACAGCAAGGAACACAGCAATAAATATAAATTGTGATTTCATTTTCCATTCTTTAATGCATTCACTTTTACAGCAAAAAATGATCGCATTTCTATAAACACAGACGCGTAGTACACTACGGGTCTTGAACCCACGACCAGAATTTTTGTCAATAGAACACAATATAAAAGCAAAATGGATTGGCAATGACATGGATTACTAGTCTGTCTGTTACTGTATTACGTCAAAATTGCTTTATAAGAAGTAAAAAGGGGAGATAGTTTCCATTTCATTAAACTTGTATCTGATAGACCTCGACTTCTACCTAAACACGTATATCTCCTCGAAGAATAAACATTAACTAGTATGCTCTGTTGACAGTTACTATTAACCGAGAATCAATGAAAGTAATTCATAGCACCAATAAGTCCAATAATTTATCCCGTTCTATACTCCAATTTAGATTTACGATCGAGCGTCGAGTCGGGTCACAATTATCCGTCTATTTTAAAACGACACTCGGGACGTTTCATTTTACTTGACGTGAAAAGAAACGGGGGATCATTTTACGCTGGTCGTTTTTTTTTGTCGCCGCGCGAGCAGGGGAGAATGGGGTTGATTTCACCAATTACGGAAGCGGAGCGATGAGCCCGCTGTCTTTGGAGACGATGGGATATTACCATGCATATTGCATGAGAGGCAATAAGGTGTCAAAGTTGGAAGCCAGTGGAAAAATACGTGAAGGATACGCGTGTGTTCGAGGACATCTGCGCAAATATGAATTTGATGGAATATTAAGGGATTCGGAATTGCTTCTTCGCTTAAAACTCAGGCAACTTTATATATTATGTATTGAACGCTTAAGCGACAATTAGGTTATAGAAATGTATTTTTTTTAACTAGACATGGAAATTTTGAAATGACACCTTTTACAGTTCCTCATTCATCAACGGTATGGAAGTAAAGAATATAATTTATTTCTACAAATATTAAAAGCACAAAAATTATTAAAGTAAAAGAATGTGAATGGTTTAAAATGCGAAATGTATTACTGCCCTACGTTCCGAATGCTATGCAGCAGCAGTGACGGGGTGGTTGAACATCAAGAGTGTCACTAATATCAAAGTCAAGATCTGCTTCGGTAACGCCATCTGTTTCCTGGTTTTTGATATTTAGAGAAACTAGGGTCTATACTTGGAATCTAGTAATATTTATATATGATCGTCCTCCCTACGATTATACTAAGATTTCAACATTTGTTATTTATGTGTTTTCTGGGTTCTTCCCAAAAAAGCACTTCTAGGTTCATATCATTTTATCACAATATTATTACTGCTTATATTTAACTAATATTAAATAATAATACAAGTCTCTCATACTTTATCCGCGAGATACAAGACGCCGAGTTCATTATGGTGGAACGCTTTACGTAATATTTTATAGGGGTTATATACTTAGTTGATGAGTACATTATGTGCAAAGCCACCTGATGCCTTAAAGGTGTTTGCTCGCTCAGGGGAATCTAATTACGCATCAGCCCTGGTGGAACCATAAATCATACTTCATCATTTCTATTCCTTTCACTCTTATTACTTTTACAAAGCGATCGCTAATTATATGTATGGTAATACTTTTATATGGATTTGCCATAAGCGTTTGTTTCTCTTCTGATGTATGGGAGAAACATTAACAATAAGAAAACGTTCGTTACTATTATTTATATTTGTGCAGCTGAGCCATGATCGTAATATTTAACATTTCTTCGAGATTCGAACTTAGGACTTATTCTGCTTATTTATTTATTATAGAGGAAGACAAACAAGCATGAGCTTCAATAGACGGTAGATGAACTCCAGCCATATAATATCTAAAGAAGATGGGGTGTCAAGCTATTTTGGCTTTGGATATTCGGAAACGAATGACACCGAAATGCAACTAAACTTGACAGTTTTTCCACAACAGACGAAGTAGACGTTTCAGAAAAAAAAAATGAAAAATGTTGGATCCGGTGGGGATTGAACCCACGACACTCGGATTATTAGCTTCACAGTGCAACTGTTATTCTAAGTTTTACATAACAATGCCAATGTCTTTAATGGAAGGAAAGTATACGTTATAACGTAAGACTTTATATATTTTACGACAAAGTAATGACATAGTATCTTTATAAGGAAACTAAATTGGTTCATCATAATATAATATATGGCCGTATTATTAGTATTATATTGTAAGTATGTATGAAATTACTTCTTTTGTTGCCAGAAGATATATTTGATGTAGTATTAGATGTTTCGAGATTAGATATAGCACTATTAATAGTAATTTATAATTTTTGATATAGAAGGATAATGAATAGAGTTGGATAATTTGAAAAGAAACAAAGCTCTTGCCAGGATTGAAATAAGGGTCAAATTGTGCCTGTTTTAAATAAGCTCAGCATTTTCGTCATTTAGCGAAAACAAGTTGAATATTTTTCCACTCCAGTTGATATTCTTTGGGAATGATCTATTTAAATCGGGTCACCACTTGACACAAATAAAAATAAGCTCGCTAATAATTCAAATCCGCAAAGCCATTGAAAAAGAGTTAAAAGTCGCCCTCGATTAATATTCAACGGGCAGCGGGCGCGTCTAATGAAATTACCACAACAAAGCGCCGGTAGCGCTGCGCGGGATTGTTTCGCTAATATAAACATCGAATACTTGCGCTCTATACTTATATAATGCCCAAGTTGGCGCTGCCTGTTTGATTAAAAATATTTCTATCATAATTTGGAGAATGATTTGAGACTATTAGATATGTACGTAAAAAGCATAGGTTAAGAAATTCCTCAAGTAAATATATATGTGTTTCTTTAAGGTTAATTTATACCTTAATTGTTCGCTGTATTTAAATTATCAAACAGTGTGTTGTATGTGTAATTAAATTTAGAATAAAATCTAACGAGGAAATGTATCAAATGTCTGACTGTAAACTGGAAGTTGTCGTAAACATTATCATTTAACATTTTCTTTTACCGACTTTAAAAGTAGCTTTGATTACAGCTTCCGTTGCGTCTCTAAAATTAACAGTATAAACTAAACAGTAGCGATTGTCTAACGACTAGTGAAATATGTAATGTAAAGTGTACAAATGTATAAAATAAATTTATTGAACTTCTAAGAGTATTTAGCAAAATGTTAAAACGCCTGTACCTCATTTCTCACTCATTCTCGCTAGCTTAAATATAATAAACAGGTAACGCCGCGTCGTGGACCTAGCTCGCTAATATAAACATCGAATACAACAAAAACTTTGCGGAGACTATGGAAATTTACATAGAAGTAACCCGAGCCAGAGCTTTTTTATTTAACTCGCGGTTTCTGTTCCGCAAAACTTTTCCTTATTGCTGGTGAATGTCTGCATGAAATTACGCTACTGCCGCGTTGACGGAGACTTGCATTATTAAAAATTTCGGGGACTGTCTGTTTGTCCTCGTTTATGACGAAAACTTTACGATGTAACCGGATGAAGAGAAATACATTTATCGGCATATATTTTTAAGATTCCATAAGAGTATATGTATGATAATTCACTGCATAAATTTAATTATATATATATGATACATGCTTGGGGGATCGTAACCGAGTACAAGAAACAATTTTACGTAATCCATTAGTAATAATTGTCGCAATGCAAGTCGTACCAAATTTTAAAGCTATTTTTATATATATACACCGATAATAAACAGCCAATATTAGAAAATTATACTAACGAAAGTAGGACAGTCGCGTAAATAAGATAAAATTAACTTTAACCTCATTACAATTCCAAACAGCACTAGCTCTTAATATCAGCCTTTAATCTCACAAAACAGTAATTTTTCGAAACGGACGCCACTTTAATATCAGGGTTGGCTCGTGATAAACGGGGCCGTATCCGAGCCGCACTGGAATTAAAACCCTAAGATAATTTACTTGCCAAATTTATTCTTTGCGTTATTGCCGTCCCTAGTGATATTTAGCCCTGATTGGACCTGATATTGTTTCATTATGCGTCCGCAGGTCCTTACCGGATTACATGAAAGCCTTTTGAATTGCTAAAACATGCTATAGAATTAAGCGGCGATATTTGCTCTCGTTTTCACTTCTTTACGGTTTGTCGTTTTTGCGTTGCGCGAACGGTATGGGAACAAACTGATAATATTTTTATTAACTATTTGTTTTATTCGACTTTCGGTGATAATACATAATTTAATATCAACATTTTTTTCGTACTTTGCACATTCTACAAGAATATAGTAACCTCATTTTGTATTCTAAATTTAAATTATTTACAAACGAAAAGTCTTCTTAGTGTCAGTAAATAATATATATGTATCCGACATTTTATAGTCAAATTTTACTCTACTTGTTTTTCGTCTACTTGTTTTGTTATGTATAATCAGTTTTACTTAAAACTTAGCATATAAGATCTAAGTATTAGTGACCGTTGTTGTTGATACACCGGAAGAGAATAGTCGCCCAAAACACAGGGAATGCTAGTACGCACCTATACGCAAAAAAAAATGTATTTTTGTAAATTTCTTATTCAGAGAGTTAAATTCTTAATGAATCTCCGATATTTGTTCCTTGATAGAATCAAAAGTTCATTATACAAAACGTACCAGTATGTGACGAGTTTTTAACCATGTTACAGTTAACACATGTCGTTTGATATGCTTTCTGTTAACTACTTTTAATGAGCTTGGGCTAAAATTTCATAAGATAAGCTGATAACAATGATGTAATAATTATATGATCGCGTACCCAAAGATTGTGACTCTCATATCGGGTATAAAACAGGCCTCCGCGATCCAAACAAACATATACCGAAATGGAACGTCGTAAATAAAAGCGATTCGGCGAAAATGAACCCTTTTCAGCTGGGCCATAAATAGAGTCCGCATTTAGTGCCCAAAGCGATGTCTAATGAGATTGTGAATTGAAACCATGATTCCAATAACCATTTGTATTCAAAGCCTAGGGCGGGTTTTAATTTACTTACTCGAATTAAAACTGCGCGTGATTCGAATTGAATATTCCAATTTTATTTTTATCGCTGATTGAAGACGTCGGGCGCTGCGGAGGCCTGCTCCATTCCATTTTGTATTCAAGTCAGACTTGGATATACCGACCCGATCCGAAACAGCTCTAAAGCATATCTTGCGAATTGACTTAGGCGCGGTTGTTTTTTATTATTGAAAAAAGAAGTATTACTATTGACTGGATCTCTTTAAATAAGGTAAAATATTCTTTCAAATTGTAAGCTTTTCTACGTTGAATTTAAGGAAAGTAGTAGGTTATGTTATGTATGCCGATATGCATCACAAACACTTGTGTTATCGACTGTTTCTATTAATTAACACCTCAAAGCATGAATATGAGAGAGCGAAATAACAATTTTGTTCTGTTCTCTTACTCTAACCGACTTTTTTAAAACAATTTCAACTTATACATACATGCGGCAGTGTCGCGCAGTGTACCATCAAAAAAAATCAATCTAATATCGATTTTTAATATATATTTATCATGTGTAGTAACATGTGAGAAATGTTAAGGTTTTTAAACAATTTTATGTTAATTTCTATTTTAATTGATGATATCAAATTGAGATAGTCAGTATTTGTATTTCCAAAGTTGGATAAACGTTGCAATGTCTACTCGTTCTGTACAAAAATATGAGAAATCATAGTTAGCACCAGTTTATGGAAAGCGAGTTCCAGTTTTTAAGACGTTCAGTTTCTAATTTAATTTGCAGAAACAATTTGAAAGGTACAGCGAGCCTTCGGGTTCCGAGTTGGCTGTATACAACGGCGAAAAAAACCAGCGAAACATTATACAGGCCGTAATGAAGT